CACAGCTAAAACAGCCCAAACACACGGTTACCCTCCAAAGGCCAACCTAAACAATTCAGCTTTGGATGCCCTGCGGAATCTAAACAAGTCTGGCAGGGCACAAGTGTCGTCTGAGAGCGCATTCCATGGGGTAGGGGCCACAACTGAGAAGGCCCTTCCTCTGGTGACAGCTAACCAAGCCATCCTGGGGCCAGGCACCTGCAAAAGGCCCCTAGACGATGACAGAAGGGAGCGAGGGGGGATTTTAACAGGAGAGGCAGGCCCATAGGCACGAGGGTCCCAGACCATTAAGGGCTTTAAAGGTTAGCACCAACATTTTGAATTGGATCTGGAGACTAAAGGTTAGCCAATGCAGCTGCCACAGAATTGGAGTAATATGAGCTGGCCATGATGTTCCAGTTAGCAACCTGGCAGCTGCTTTCTGGACCACCTGCAGTTTCCAAAGCATTTTCAAGGGTAGCCCTACACAGAGTGAATTGCAGTAGTCCAGTCTAGAGGTGACCATTGCATGGATCAATGTGGCAAGGTCTGACCCGGACAAATAAAGAGCCAGCTGGCGGGCCTGGCACAGGTGAAAAAACGCTGACCATGCTACCATGGACACTTGTTTATCCAATAATAGTGCCGAATCCAACCACACTCCAAGACTCTTTACAGAATCTACAGCTGGCAGGTGTCATCTGAGAGCGCATTCCATGGGGTAGGGGCCACAACTGAGAAGGCCCTTCCTCTGGTGACAGCTAACCAAGCTATCCTGGGGCCAGGCACCTGCAAAAGGCCCCTAGACGATGACAGAAGGGAGCGTGGGGGGATTTTAACAGGAGAGGCAGTCCCATAGGCATGAGGGTCCCAGACTGTTAAGGGCTTTAAAGGTTAGCACCAACATTTTGAATTGGATCTGCAGACTGAATGGTAGCCAATGCAACTGCCACAGAATTGGAGTAATATGAGCTGGCCATGATGTTCCAGTTAGCAACCTGGCAGCTGCTTTCTGGACCACCTGCAGTTTCCAAAGCGTTTTCAAGGGTAGCCCTACACAGAGTGAATTGCAGTAGTCCAGTCAGGAGGTGACCATTGCATGGATCAATGTGGCAAGGTCTGACCCGGACAAATAAAGAGCCAGCTGGCGGGCCTGGCACAGGTGAAAAAACGCTGACCATGCTACCATGGACACTTGTTTATCCAATAATAGTGCCGAATCCAACCACACCTCCAAGACTCTTTACAGAGTCTACAGCTGGCTGTGGGACACCATCAAGTCTCAAGAGTGACCCTCCAGCTAGCATTTCCATCTTTCCCAGTCACATGACCTCCTTCTTATCAGTGGGAATGAAGGGAGTCTCAGCAGCCAGGTAAAAGTCTACTCAGACTTATTAATTGTGTGGGAAATAAAACTGCTGGACCTATGGTGTCTAATTCCTTGTCTTGTTTAAATCGCCGAGATGTTGACAGTGGGCAGACTTGCAAAGCAATCCTAAACATAACTCAGCACCCCGTTGGAAAGGGAAGGATGCTGTCAGCTAACTCCACGCTTGAGAGGAGATTAATGGACATAACAGCAGAGTCTCAATTCCTAACAATTAAGAAGGATACTTTTACATATTAGTTTCCTATTTTGACATATTTATTTCTCCACTGGTTTCCCCCCCTAAATCCAAACATATTGTGACTCCTAAACTTAGCTTGTTATTGCTATTTAGTCTTTGCATAACTCAAAACATCTTCATTAAGTTGTATGCTAATTTGCTGTTCATCTATGTAGAGGCATCTGCCTATATATATATATGAAATGTTAAACTTCCATTTCTATATATCTGAAGAAGTGTGTGCACACACGAAACCTCATAACTTGAATAAACTTTTGTTGGTCTTAAAGGTGCCACCAGACTCAAAATTTGTTCTACTGCTTCAGAACGACATGACTGCCCACCTGGATCAATCCTAAACAGAGTTACACACACTCTTCTAACCCCACTCACTTCAAGGGACTTAGAAGGGTCTGATTTTGCTTGGGACCACACTGTTGGTGACCTAGTCAAGGCAGGAGGTATCTGAAGATGGTTTCCTTGCTAAAATTTCCATTTCATGATCTAGAATGCATGGATCTACTTCCAACAGAAGTGTATCTCTTTCACAAGCCACATGGCTTTCTGTACCTTATTTGGAGGGGAAACTGGCAGCCACACACTGAATTGCTCTCTATAAAACAGTCTCAGACAGTTTAGAAGCATGGATAAGGGCCCCCCGTCCAGAGCATCTCCTGTACCTGAGTCAGTGTGTTCCTTTTAAACGAACTTTAAATTCCATTTGGAACTCAGAAAAGGGGCTGGGACAGATATTCTAAGGTCCTGTAAATAACTGTTTGATTCAGGGAACTAATTTCCCTTATCTTGCTCATTCCCTCATCAGAATTGCAAACGGTGTCCATTTTGTCTTCCATTTTCAACAGGAAGTTGTCCAACACCCTGACATCCTTGCTCTGTCCCGAGTAGGGTTGCCTTCAAGCCTGAAGAAAAATGTCCTGTCCTTTTAATTTTTTAATTCTATTTTATTATTTCGATTTATATCCCGCCCTTCCCGCAAGCGGGCTCAGGGTGGCTCACAACAATAAATTCAATACAATCTTAAAATAACTCATGAGATAATAAATAGCAATATTAAATCAATACAATAAAACTGATGTAAAACATTTAAAGTGGGCAGTGCAGAATATTCAATTTCAGTTCTTACAGCTGGGAAATGAGTGGGCCAGCACCAAGCCATAATGGTCTCACGCAGCAACAACAGGGAGGCTAGCTGGTAGATGCCCGCTGCCTCAACCAAATGTATATATACCTTGCCTTTCTCTCCAATGAAGGCTTATTGCGTGGAACTGGGCCACTGAAGCTTTTCGTGGCATGGAGGTAAATAACATTGTCTGGTAAATATGCACCATGAAGTCTCTGTTAAAGGGACAGAGCATTCTTTTCTCTAGGCAGTTGGCAACCCTAGTCCCGAACCATTTTAGCTCAGAATCTTCTGCTTCAGTTTTGTGACTGCGTCTTAGCAGGAATTGTTCTACGATGGCCAGAAGCAATGTGAGTTTCTACTGGATTCCTGACACAGAGTTAGTGCTCCAGACATTTACTCTCAAATGCCAAGAGTCTCTGGTGGAGTGGCATCAAGGTTACTAGTTCAGTGACATCACTTCAACGGCTGGCTGTCTCAGACATGCTATGATCTCTCTCTCTCGGTCCAGCTTCATATGACCAGAAAGAGCCAATCTTGTTTCAAATTCTTCTTCATGAGGCACAGTGAATTTAATATCTGAAAAACATTTATTTATTTATTCGATTTATACCCTGCCGAAGCAGGCTCAGGGCAGCTTACATAAAAAAGTTAAAACACATAAAACAGAACAATTGTAAAACTAATCATAAAGTGGACATGGGCACTGGCGGTCAGTCTCCCCTTTATCTCCAAAGGCTCCAACCATGCTCAGCCCATGAACATTTTTGGAATGTGAAGAATGTTAAGTAGACACTACCACAGAAGGGCTGCCAAGAAGGGGCATGGCCAACCACAAAACGCTAAGACTGGGAGATTCCAAGCCAAGGAACTAACCATAACAGAGACTTACGTTTCTGAATGGGTGCTCCCTACAGATCCAAAAAGCTGACGCCTCCTGGACTTAATGGTGGGGAGAACTGGCAGGACTGAGTTTTTGCTTTGGAGAATTAGGAAGTGAGCACCAGGAAATACATTGGTGGGTACCACAATGATCATGGACACCATTTTAGGGATCATTGACATAGGTAATGGCTGTTAGGAAGGACTTTTCTGTGGAAGAAGATCATAACTGTACACAGCCTTCCAATCTTCCTCTCCAGGATGTCCAACAGAGAGGGAAATTATCTGAGAGCTGAATCTTTGCCTAGGGGCACTCATTGTGTAGCCCCATGGCCATGGTTCCTCTAAAACATGAGGCTCCAGGACCCTCTCCTAGCTGGCCTGGATTGTGAAATTCCTTAAGATTTGGGGGTAGAGACTGGAGATGGCAGGGTTTGGGGGGGGGGGGCTCTGCAGGGTATAAATGCCAGAATTCACCCTCCAAAGCAGCCACTTTCTCCATTAAAATCGATCTCTGGAGCCTGGAGATCTGTGGTAATTCCAGAAGATCTACAGCCCCCCCCGGAAGTTGGCAACACTCTTGGGTTTTATCTGCCTGAGATCCTCAACCTGTCCTCCGCTCTGTCTTCCAACCACCTTGGAATCTTTGTAGGCCCCACCGAGGCTTTTTGAATCCCAGCTCCATTCTTGGCTCAAAAGGAATGCTAACAGTGCCATCCTAACAAGCGTTAATCTAAAGCTATTAAAGATCAATGGGTTTAGAAGGGGATAACTGTTTTTAGGAGGGCACTGCCAGTCTAGCATCCACAAGAAGGGGCTGTTATTTTCTCTGGGTCTCTGCATTTATTGACCAATAGCTTGGGAGCTCCAATTCCCCATGACATTATTGCGTTTCAGCAAGAAAAGTTCCTACGACCCGCAAAGGGTCGCTCTAGCCCATAGTCTCTATGGTTTAGGAACAAACCGAAAGAGAACGTCAGAGTTCCTAGAGCAGGCTAAGCGGCCAACTCTACCCCAGAACGTCCTACAAGGGTAATCCCGAAAAAAGAAGCCCATGTAGAGATCCTTTTATCCCGCTCTCTGATATGGTGGAGGGGGAAGACACACTTGATATTCCTAGAAGGACATATGTCACTCTATCCCGCATGACCCCGTTCGTTGGTTTGGAGGAAGTGAGAGAAGCGAGAGGACGTCCACATTCGTCGAAAGATCGCCCGCTCTATCCCTCACGGCTTCCTCGTTTCGGAGGGCCGAGAGAGCGACGCTCGTTCGAAGAGGTGGAGACGAGGCAAGCGGAAGCGGTGCGGCTAGAGAGGACCCGTTGCCTCTGCTCGGCGTTCTAGGCAGCGTCCTGTACCTGCGGCTTAACCCCCCCCCCTTTCTGTCCAGTGGGAGGACTGACGGCAGCTGGGACGAGCGGCGGAGGGGGAGGGGAGACAAGATGGCGGAGGCCTCGGCGGCAGCGGCGGCCACCGTCTCTCAGCATCGCTTCTTCTGCCACAGCTGCAAGGGGGAGGTCAGCCCCAAACTACCGGTAAGGAAGCGGGGGAAGGAGTCTGGGGGGAGAGGAGGGGGGGAGCAGGAAGGGAGGGGGCGTTATGTCAGTACTCACCCCCCCAACTTAAAAAATGGTTAACGTTGGGACTCGGGGTGGGGGCGAGAGACTGACCGCCCTGCCCTTCCTCCCGGACGCCGGGGTTCCTCCTGGAGTAGTTGTGACTGGCAGCCCGATGATGGAGTCCGAAGGAGTAAAGGTGTTGTGGTTGGTTGGTTGGTGTCGATGGCGGCCCCATATTTTGTCCTATCATCCTTCTAGAAGTTGGAGGGGGCGGAAGGTGGGAGAAGAAAAGGATCTCTGTCTTTGTCGGCCCCCCCGTCCCCCGTTGTAGGTGGATGCAGAAGGCGTTGATAGCTTCATCCTCCCTACACAGACTTCCTCCTTCTCCCTGCTGTTAAGCAAGGGACGAGGGGAGGAAGAAACTGCATTGTGCGGCCTCAGCCGGACCCTGACCTTCTCTCCTCCCCATCCTTCCCCAGTGAAACGGAACGGGGTGGACGGCAGTTCTGATTATTGCGAAGAGATGAGAAGTAAATCTTCTGAATTCATTGTGTGTGTTTGTGGGCAGGGTGTTAGCCCTTTTTGTAGATAAATGGGCCTACTAGAGAGGAAAGTGCGTGGAGAGGCTAGACCCCCATATTTAAAGGGTTAAGGGTTTAGGAAAGGGGGGGGTGTTGAATGCTGAAGTTCATTTTTCACAAAGTACAAGTAGGGCCTGGAGAGGAGAGGGTTCCCATCGTAGCACTCCTTCTTAATATAAAGGAACATTTGGGAGAGATGACAGGATGGGTAGGTGAAAGGAGGAGGGAAGGTTGGTCTTCACATCTTGTGGATATAAAAAGGAAAGCTACAGAAAGCCGTAGAGCCTTAAACCCTACCCTTTATCTTTCTCTACTGTAGTGTAGTCAAAAGGGTGGAGCAACAGAGGGCTGGGTTTGAACATACGAGAGTGCAAAGGGCTGGGGCAGTATAAGACTCTTAACACCTAATATCAGTCCACTGCCTTCATAATGTGGGGGGAGGGAAGGGAGGAAAGGGAAACTGCTGCACTCCTCTCCCTCTTCAGTGTTTTCCTTTCAAGGTGAAGGAGAGAGAGAGGATGAGAGAGATAGTGGTTAGAGTGTCAGATTATGCCCAGGTAAACCATGTTTACGTCACTGCTTAATACGAAGTTCCCTGGGTAACTTTGGTGCAGTCACTCTCAGCTTCTGCCTACCTCAGGGTGGTTCTGGAAATAAAGCGGAGGTGGGGAGAGTTGTGTACACATGTCTGAGCTCCTTGCAGGAAGGGCGGGATGAAATTTACTGAATACATTTTAAATTGTCCTGACTGCAAGACAAGAGGCGGGCAGAGCTAGAGATGCCTGGTTGCTCAGGTCTCTTGAAAACTTAGTACTGGCAGGGTAGGGATATCTTTACTTTCCGGAGCGTAGGAATCTTAGATTCTTCCATCTCTTCCTTAGAGGCACACGCCAGTTGCTTAAGGAAACACAAAATATTGTCACCTTTCTCAAATCAAAACGATTCCTTTTGGTTTAGTGAGGAAGTCCTCTCTGCCACTCGGGCTAGGATTCTGGCAGGGTAATGTCTTAGGGCCTTTTTTCACCCCCTTTTCTCATTGAAAGTGGGGCACGGTGTTTCCTTGCTGTTGGCCTGCCCACCTGATCATTGAAGGTGAGTGACAGTGGGGTCTGGGAAGCAAGGAGAATGAATCCTCATTCTCCGTTGTAGCCTTCCAAGGTCATCGATGCTTGATGGTTAAGAGGAGGGCAAGGGTCTGACCCACAGCATGTCTAATACATGGGCAGAAGCTTTGTGTGTGTAGCACTGTGGTAGTGCAGTGGTCATGGCGGCTGCCCGTCCAGGCCTTTGAGAGCGATGGGTCAAGAAGATTGTAGCCAAGGGAAGGAGATGGCATGGTTGGCAAGGTACCTCGAAGTTCTGTTTGTAGGACTGGTAACCTCTTGTTTGAGGGAGAGCACACAGAACCGGGGTTTCCCAGTTTGTGACAAGACTCTGAGTTTGTTGTGGGGGGGGGGGAGAAGGAGCCGGGGAGCTTATATTCTTTCTGGCAGGTAGATCTGCATGATTCATGGCTCACCAAGCTGAACTCAGCCCCCCGGGGCTAGGTATGCCATCTATTTATGCAGCTCCCTTCGGACTGCAGTACTGGTGCAAGTTTGTCCATTGTCAAGTACCTGCTATGCACAATCTGTGGCTGGCTCTATTTGCCTTGGTGGGTCAGGAATTGTGCAGGCCGGCTCTGCAATTTGGCAATCGGTACCTCCTACTGGGTACATCACAGTGTCAGCAGATATACTTTGGGGTGAATATCTGGCATGGAGGTATGTGATCATCTTAGTGGCAGGATTACAGCTGGATCCACCCGCATCAAAGGAGAGGAAATGTATTTCCTGGTGACCACTGTGATGTTTGGTATCTTACACACATGGAGTTGTCTGGCGGAATCCCTCAGTCTTTCAGGGCCAGGGTGTGAGTGTGTGGTGACATGTCATTCGGCCTCAGTTGCACCATCTGTAAAATGGGAACCACGCCTGGGGCTGGGAAATGACCAAGATCTTCAGTGCCTCCAGATCTGCTGCTGGAGCCTTCGAAGTGGAGACAGGTTTTTTCCCTCCATGGCACTAGGCGTGACTGACTTCTGAAATTTGTTGCCAGCGCCTGCCTTGATTTGACGCTGATTTCCTGGAATATCATATATATATATATTTGCAGTTATAATGGTGCCTGTGTGTCTTCTGCGTTTGCACAGATATCTGTTTTGAAAGACGCTGGTTGGTTTTGAAAAAAAACCCAACTCACCTTTGTGTCTACACCTTTCGTGCTGGCACCAGAAGCAGAAGTCTGGGCACCTCCATAGTGCCCCCTGAACAACGGTTAATGCCACCACTTCGGTTTTGAAATGCTTTGACATGTTCAAGTGCTGAGGAAGGGGAGTCTGAGGGCAACTTTTTTTTAGCCAGCTGGTCTTTTGACACCTGAGAAACGATTTCTGTGCATTTTTAGAAAATCCCTGCATATTTCCTGAAAGCCTTTTTAAAAAAGAAATGTTATGCTGGCATCGGTTACTGTGATGTTATATGCTCCCCTCTGCACCATCGAAGGAGACGAAAATCTCACGGATTTCTTTAAAAGTCAAGTGTACGTGACGCCCCTGGCTTGTTCCTGTCACAGATATTGGCACCGAAAGAGCTTTTTATCTGTAAACAAGGAACCAGGGCTGAATGAAGTTCTCCGCCTGGATTTCTGGCTGCACTTTCAGAGGGGATAGGTTTACCTCCTGGAGTCTCTTGCATCTCCACCCCACCCCCACCCCTAGGCACAGACTCCCTCCCTCCCTCCCTCCAGTTTATGCTTGGCTCCCTTTTCAGTTGCTGACTTCTGCAGTTTTTTCCCCCATGCCATGTTTCAGCTGTCCTTTTGTTTCAGCAAAGCGCTGCTATGAAAAATCCTCATAGACTGATACTTTCCATAGTCTCAGATCAAGATTCCCCGATGTCCTTTTGTGTCTCTGTTATTCGAGCAAGGATATATATGTATGTATGTATATGTTTATATATTAGCTCTATCCATGTGTCTGTGTCATGCAAGCACGAAAAGTTGGCATGGGTGAAGAACTCAACATTCTTAGAAATTGAAATTCAGCATTTGTTCTTTCCTTTTTTAAAAAAGAACTCCGAAGTTTCTAGCCCTTAAGGTGGCTGTGGTAGGCTGAGAAGGATGTAGGCAGTGCCTGGTTGTATCTTAGCTTCTGGTGGGGGGAGAATGACGTTGCTCTTTCTCCAAATTACGCACAATAGGCAAGTGTATGCACCTTTGTATTAATGATACAAATCGTATGATTTGAGCAAGCTTGGTAGAAAGTTGTTTGTTTGGCCGTCGAATCCACAGCTCTCTGCCTTTGTGTGACACCCATTAAACTGAGGCTGATATGAAACTAGTTGTACAGTTTTGGTTTTGTTATTCCCAAGTAATGGTTACACTTTTCAATTTCAGCAATCCATAGGGGCTTCCCAGAATATAGTAATGGTTACTATTTTCAGCTCTCTGTGAGCAATGTTTCTTGTTTTGGATTTAACAGTTCCTGTGATTTTCAGGGGTGTGTGCGTCAGAAAACCTCATCAATTTCCAGACCCAAATCAAAGATTGCAAAAAATAATTTGGTCCCTCCTTAAAACAAATTTCTGTGTCAAGATGTCTTGGAGCAGACTTGAAAATAAGTCAAAGTTACTAGGCCTCGTACTCTTATACTACCTATCATACCCTCATGTAGTGACATTGGAGCAACCGTGGTGTAGGGGTTAGAGCACTAGACAAGGACCTAGGAGACGCAGGTTCATATTTACATTTTCGCAGTGGAAGCTTGCTGGGTGTCCTTGGGTCTGTCATCATGAATAACAGCCATGGAAGGACCTCTCTGCAATGAATCTGTTTAATCAAGAGCTACCATGGTATAATGGTTGAGCTGGGGACGCTAATCTGGAGAACCGGGTTTGATTCCCCACTCCTCCTCCACATGAAGCCTGCTGGGTGACCTTGGATCAGTCACCGTTCTCTCAGAACTCTCTCAGCCCCAGACTTCCGGTCGACGGAACAGCGATGGTGGACGCTTTCCTCACAATGGAGGAGGCGAATCGCACACCAGTGGCCTTGAGGGGTGCCACCTCAAATGACACCCCTGCGTAGCCTTTGCGATAGGCTCCAGGCCAGGGGGCTTTTGCGGGGTAGACTCTTTGATGGCGTAATGCCGGAGAATTGAGGCTCCCCTCCACCCCAACGGTCCAGTCGCTGAGTGGCCTTCGGGCATAAGCTGGACTGACTGGGACAAGCGCCGGAGATCGAGCGGAATGGTGTAAAACCAAGCGTGGTCAGATAAACTGGCCAACAATGAACGTGAGTTCTGAATAAAAACAGAGTAGTTTGAAAAGTCATCCCCCCCACGATTGGAAACATAGA